AGGGCAGGTAACTACTTACTCTCCCTCCCTTAGGAGCAGAAGTCAGTGGGAACAGTAAGAGGGCAATAGCATTCCAGGTGCAGTTTTGGGTTCTTTAAAAACTGAGACTCAAAAGAAATACATATGGCCAGGTCCTGGACCAACAGATCTCACACACCCTTGTGTGAGACTCCCTCATGGTATTGGGCAGTGTCTGCCCTTCTCTAAGCCTATTTCTCCAACACTGGATGACAATAGTAACAAAGATCCTTTGCTTGACCAAACTTTAGCTCAGGCTTCTGAACCTTCTCCTAAGCCCATCTGTGCACTTCATGTGTAATACAGTTTTAGCAAAGGCAACTTTTTAAGTCTGGTTAGCCAGAACCCCTCATCTTCAATATATCATCACCTTCCACATCCGATCAGGTTCCTCATCCTCTACCACTCCCAGGTGGTGTCTTTGGTCTTGTTTCAGCAAGAATCCTGTTAGGTAGGTTTAACCAGAACCCCTTCTTGTCCCTGATATTTCCAGGTCCTAACTTTCCATTCACCCACCCACACCCTGCTCCTTGGCTACAAACTCCCAGACCCAGGTTGTTTTCAAAGCTGAGCCTAATCTCTCTCCACTGCAATACCCCATTGCAGTGGTCCCTGTATCTCTGATGACAGTCCTGAATAATATGTGTTCTAACACATCTCATTGAATATTTTTTCTTTAACAGTAGTGACTAGAGGTAGCCTGGGAACATCCATGCACCCTAAAAGTTCCATGGACCTGGAAAGAAATCTCTCTCATCCAAGTGATTCCCTTGAACAGACACTGGGCAGCAAACTGTCCCTGGGCCCACCTTTTGCTCTGAGCTTCTTCCAGGGATGGGGAGCTGGAACTGGGGTGGTGGCCAGCCTGGCCCAGGAATTAACAGGAAGGAGTGGCTCAAGGACCTGACCTTTTGGTCTAGAGCAAGTACACTGGTCATGAGACTGCTCAGAATAGCCAGAGGAACTACATACAGCTGTCCAGGGAGGCCTAGCACAGCACTGTGCCCTGGAGTGAGCCCCCACCAGGCCCTGTCCCCCACCTTTGAGACAACATATTTCCTCCTTCTTTGAGAGACTCAAGCCCAAAGTTTCTGGCAGATGCCAGACCTCCTGAACACAGGTGCCACCCCCAGGGTGCCAGACCTCAAATACTCTCTGAGGTGTGACATGAAGCAGCACTGAGCCCCGCACTAGGAGACATTGGTTTCTGAAGGAGCTGGGCAGCTAACCTGCTCATGTGTGACCTGGGGAAAAGCACTCCTCCCTTGGCCTCACCTTTCCCACTGTCATAATTATAAGCTCCTGTGACACTGAGTATGCAGGAAGATTACAGTCTGAGGGAAGACAAACCCAAATCAAGTAAGGCTGTTAATGAGTTTTATTTTTTCCCCACAAACCAGATAGCTTCTCTGAAGGGAAGGTCCTGGTTCTGAACCCTGACCCAGCCTGTGGGGCCAGCAAAGACACTGCTGAGGAACTGATATTTGTGGTGGGTATGAAGGATAAAGAAGGGTAAGCCAGGAGGAAAGAGTGCTTCAGAGGCAACAGTGTATGCAAAGGCCTTCAGGCAGGGGAACTCGGCACCAGCAAAAAACTGAAACAGGCCAGGTGGCTGAAGGCTGGGGGCATTGAGGATAGCCCACCAGAGGAGACTAGAGAGACGGGGGTGGGGAGGTCATGGGGCCTGCAAGGCCACAGTATGCACAGGGAAGCACTGAAGGGTTTTAGGCAGGCAAGGTTGTGACCTGACAGATGAGTGAGTTGAAAAGACCTCTGTGGTTGCCAAGTGGAAAATGGACTGGCAGGAGCAGGGGCTAAAGGTGGGATAACAGTCAGAAAGCTGCTGGAGAGGTGGGCCTGAGGGAAGAAGGTGGCTTCAAGTAGGAAGAAGATGGAGTTTAGAGATGGTCATGAGGTAACACAAGCAGCAGGAGTAATAAGAGCTGCCAACACTTACTGAGCACCTACTATGTGCCGTGGCTATCCATGATCACCCCCAGCGAGTCCTTACATCAACCCTCTGAGGACGGTTCTGTCATTACCCCATTTGTCTGTAGAAAGGTGAAGGGCTCTGACCAGCAGATGCTAAGTCAGTGATATTCATTACCAGGAGTGGAGTGGGGGGGTCTGGTGGCACCATTCAAAGACACAAGGACCCCTATAAAAGTACTATGGGAAAGAGAATACATGGACTGAACGAGGACACACTGGCAAGAGACTCTTGAGGTCCCTCCAGCTTCTTTTTCATTGCTTTTGGGTCTCCTTCACACATTACCATGGCCAAATAGGGGGATCTGAGGTGAGAGGTCAGGTACCTAGGAAGCCCTAATAACAGCTCTAGCCCTGATTTCACCTCTGCTGAGAGCCCCGTGTCTACTGGGACCCCAGGGATAAACAGAAGTCTATGTCTAGGCTCCTCATTCTAGGTACCAGGTAAGTTTCCTTTCCAGAGGCCTGAGGGGGAGTCAGGGCTACATCAGGTCCCAAAGAGGAGGGGACCAGGCAAAGAGACAGACTTGGGATAAGGGGTCAGTGGAGAGGGGGAGTGGGGTGGCTGGAGGTAGGCTTCCCCAGCTTGGAGATCATTGGTACTTCTTAGAAATCTGGAAAGTCAAATGACCTTGGGGGACAGATGTGACCACATTCACATACCCCATATACATAATGGGAACAGTTTCTGGCTTTCAGTCTAGGGACTATCACTGGCTCTGATGTGACAAGAATGATGCTCCTAGTAACAACATACAAATCATAGAAAAAGGCCAGACTTCACACCTGAACTGGCCCCCAAGAAAGAAAGGAGGGTGAGTTTCCAGCCAGTTCCCCCAGACTGCCCAACATACCTGCTCTCATACCACTGTGACTCTGCATGCAAGGACTATTTGTCCACTGCACGCTGCCTGGCTAATTCCTGCTTCCCCCCAATGCTTGCCCCAGCATGACCTCCTCTGGCACAGTTCTTATTCTCATGGCCCCAGGAAGTCCCTCTACCCCTTACCACATAATATCATCATCCTTTTCTGTGTATCTCTGTGGTACATGCACCCCCTCCCCCCACCCCCTACCCCGAATACAAGTGAGGACCATCTTGTCCCAGCTTACCTCGCCCTGTCTTGCCCCCTCAGGTTGGTGTCCAGTAGAGAAGGGTCAGGGAACCAGCTGCTCCAGCCACCACTGATAACCCTCAGAACTCAGATGGAATATCCCACCCTCAGCCAAGTATTGCCCCTATCTTTCAGGGCCAACACCAAGGCCTGGGGTAGGTGGCATCTCTTCAGGGACAGGTGATCTCACAACTGGCCCATATACCAACAGCTGGTCTGGGCTAGAATGGCATTTCTGTTGATATATGAGGATGGGAAATGCCCTCAGTAAGGCAGCTCAGGAGTCCCAGGAGATAGAGGCAGCAGGCAGGATGCTACACTGAAATTTCATCTTCTGGTTACACCCAGGCCACATAGGGTCTCTCTGATAAGCACAGCAACATTGACACACATGCCCAGGGTCTCTCTCACACACACAACACATGCTTTCACACATAGGATCTAGCACAGACTCTGACAGAGCCCCACAAACACAGTCTGTCACACACAAGACATCCACCATGCACAGATGGTCTCATGCACACAGCCTTACATACACACTCAGACTCACATGCAGAGCTCCACATATACAGTTTCACACTTGCCACACACAATACACTCAGAGACACACTCACTTCGAGTCTCACACATTGCATTGGATTTTACACATACTGTTGCTTTAATATACACTTTATCTCCCTCACAGTCTTGTACACACATAGTTTGCCTCACAAAACACACAAAATCTGACCCTCTCATCCACAAAGAATTTCTCTGACACAGGGATGTCTCTCATATTTTCACCACACACGTGTATGCGTGACCCAGAGTCTCACATATTTTTATTCTCACACACACGAAGAGTCTCTCACACCCACACAGGATCTCTCTTACACAGATTCTCTCTCACACACATACAGCTTTTCTTTCACACATGCATACAATGCCACACACATACTAGATTCTGGTCTAGAATCTAGACTAAAAATTCCACTCCTGACCCACCAACTGAGGAGGCTTGGGGACCCATGGTGGGGAGGGGTAAACAAAGGTGACAGCAGCAGCGGCAGAGCAAAGATGGAGGGGGAGGAGGGCGGGCAGCTGCTGGTCTCTGCGCAGGGAGCTGCAGAGAGGCAGCGCAATGCAGCTAGGCCAGCTGGGCAGGTGGCAGGAGCCCGGGTTCTAATCTCAGCTCTTCATTCAGTTCCTGTGTGTCCTTGGGAAGCCCCCTCCCCAATGGGCCTCAGTATCTTCCTGTACTCCTCAGGGTAGTCTAAAAGACTACAATCTTTCTTTTAGGAAGCAACTGGGAGAGTAGCATAGGTATGCTAAGGGGAGATACCCACCAACACCCACCTTCATCCCTGGTACCCTCACTCCCCGACATGCTCTACTGCCCCCGGCATTTCCCTGAGTCTGGTTTTCAATGGACATTCATTTGAGAGACAGTTCAAGACTTTTCAAGTATGGTTTTATACACCAATGAGACCTCAAGCCACACTGAGTGGCCTATTTGTCTCCACTGAGAAGAGGCCATCCCAGAGCCTAGGAAGGTCCAGTCAGAGGAGCTGGACAGAGGAGGGGGCTGGAACATCCCATTGATCCCTGATTGTCTTGAAACTCAGGGACATTGGTCAGAGCTCTAAAGTTGAATCCAAGGAGGGGAGTGGAGGTAGAAAGTCATGAGGAAGCTGGGCCTACCCCTTGATTCCAGGGGCCAAGAGGAAGAAAATGCTATCCAAGGTCAAACGTGGGCTGAATGGGCAGCTGTTCTAACACAGGCCTTTTGCCCAGCCTGCTCCCACCCCCTCCCTAGCATGAGCTGGCTCAACCTCTCAGTTCCCCTATTTCTGCCCCTCCCCACAGTTCAGCAAGCCTCCAGTTATATAATACTCTGGCTCTGGTGGCCTCTGTCAGGAGGAAGGAAGGGAAGAGGCCTCAGAGGGTCTCAGTCCACTCAAGAATGACAGGAAGCTGACGGCCAGCTCAGGAGAGGATAGGGTCCCACGAGACTTGGGTTCAAGTGCTACTTGGCCTCCAACTCCCTGGGTGACCTTGGGCAAGATCTTCAGTAGCAAGATAAGAGGTCGGTACTCTCTCTATTGCTCCCTTCCCCTAATATACACACCTGTTCTAGAATTCAAGGTGTAAAATTCTGACCTGCGGCCCCCTCCCTCACATGCCTTGCTGTGTTTTTTCTCAGTAATAAATCTGCTAGGTCTCTACCTAAGTAGCTATTATCTGCCCCTGGGTACCACCACTTACCCGCCCTCTCCCCCAATGTCCTTCATCCACTGATTCTCTGCAGACTCCTGCCCCTCCCCAGCTCCATCCCCCTGGATTTGGCACAGGCTTCAGCTGGCAGGAGGGAAGGGATGTGGAACTGTAAAAGACAGCAGGGCAGAGGCAGTGTTTTGCCTGGGAGTGGGAAGAGGGATAGCTCACAGATACCAGAGAGGCTCAGAGGCTGGGCATTAAATTCCCAAGTCTGTCCCTCCCTCACAGGCTGTGGCTTACTCAGGCCTCTTAGGACAGAGCCTAGGAAGGCCTGAAGAATCTCTTCCAAGGTAGCTGACTGCTATCAGTCTTTCTCTTGGGTTTAGTGACTGATGGTCCAGTAGTAAAGGCCCTCAAGAGTCCACCAGGGCCCCTCCCCCATTTTATAAATGAGGAAACTAATATAGAGAGGCCATCAAAGGGGCCAAGGTCAGCAAGAAAGGACACCTGCTTGTGTCCTTTCTTCCTGACAACAATCTCCTGTCGCTAAAGAGGAGTGGCAGATAAAGGCACACCCACCTCACATACCTTGTCCTTGCAGGTTCCCCCTTAAAATCCCCCTCTCTGCCCATCCCCACAGGTGTTAGAAGGAAGCACAGGCACAAAGCCCAATGACCCCATCCAAGTGCCTCCCCTTTCCACCAGGAAGAAGGACAATCTCTGATCTCAGGAGCAGGTCTCAGAGGGATCACCACACCCCTGCCAGGAAGCCCAGCTATGAGAACTACCACACTATTAATTAGCCACAGAGATTCCCCCCAAGACCACCTCCTCAGAATGGCTTGAGGCTGCTCCCTGGGGAGGGGACCCTCTGTCTTAAGCTGCCAGGCAGGCCTGAGGCCCTCTTCCTGGGCAGCTGGCTCCAGACACCCCTTTACCTGGGAGGGAGGAAGGGTTCCCCACTTCTCTCTCACGCCAGAGGTCAGTTCACACCTTCACAATGTACATCTGCAAAGACACAAATATGCACGAACAGGCTCTCATGCACACTCAACATACACATGCTCACTCATTCCCACTACATACTTTACCCACCCAAATATACACCACCACACTTACATAAATATGCACACACGATCTACTCATACACACAAACACACCCATTCATACTCACTCATACATATTAAATTCGGCAACACAGGCAGACTCTTTTATACATACAAAATCAGTCACCCTGGCAAAGTTACCCCTTTCTCTCTCTCTTACACATGTACACACCCCTTCAGTTCTGAACTCTCTAGGTGCCACTTTTCAAGTCCACCCCTGCCCGCTGGAGGCAGAGATGCTGCCTCCCTTGCCGGGTTATTCTGATGGGTAAGTTGTCACTTACCCGCGCATAGCGGGATGAGTAGGGGTCCTCAAAGAGCGCCCAGATGCGCGGCTGCCAGCGGCGCCAGAAGCCGCCAGGCCGGCCATCTGGGGAGTCACTCAGCGCCAGTCGTTTGGTCATCTCTAGCTCGTCCTCACCGTCGCCTGAGTCTCCGGGGCCGTCGGCGTCCGCGTCGTCAGCGCTGTTGTCCAGGGGCGCCCCGCCAAAGCTGTCGAGCGCCTCCTCGGCGTCGCGGTGCTGGCGGTATGTCATCCAGCAGCAGGGTTCCACGTCTGTCTCGTCGATGCCCCAGAAGGCCAGCTCCTCCTCGTAGAGCGGCCCACACACGTCGGCTGGGCAGTGCAGCTTGCCCGTGCGGTAGTAGTTCAGGATATGCGCGAAGACGCCTGGGTGGCGGTCGAAAAAGAACTCGTCGGCACGCGGGTCATAGTCGAAGTGGCTGTGGGCGTCGGGCTCAGCCAGCCAGGCGAGCCGCGTGCCGGGCAGCGTGCGCAGCGTCGAGCGGTACGTCTGGTGGCGCGTGCCGCCCACGTTGATCACGATGCGCTCGCTCTCGTCCCCTTGGCCCATCGCGGCGCCCCCTTAGACATGGCGCGGCCCAGCGACACCCATGGGAGCGGCCGCCAGGGGGAGTTGGCGCCGGGGAGGGGGGCGCGCGGCCTCCTCCCCCCTCCCCCCTGCCGTCGGGGGGAACAGAGGAGCGCGGCTCTGGCCACCCCAACCAGTGACCCAAGCCCCTCGGGGTGCTGGAGGTCGGTGCTGGTCCAGGGGAGTGTGCGCGGGATCCCAAGGGTCTCTAGGCGCCAGATGTGGGAGGGAGCTGGTCTGGTTGCGGAGGAAGCAGAGGAGAGGAGGGGAGGGAGAGTGGAAGGGAAGAAGGGAGGGGGGCGGCGCTCAGCAGCGAGCCCCGGGAGGAGGGGAAAGAGGGTGGGGGGGCCGGGCTCCCTTTACCATCTCAGCGGGAAAATGGAGAAATCGACACAAAGCTTTTGGGGGGGAAGGTCAGCAGCTCCTAGGGCCGGAGGGATAGACCAACCCCCAGAAGGGGGAGGGGAAGAGAGGGGGCCGGGGAAATTCGAGCTCCGCTGTGCGGTGGTCGCCGCAGCACGCTCTAGGAGCGGGGGAGATGGATACCGGCTGCTTTCTCCCTGCGTGGCCGGGCTGCAGCTCGGGGCGCAGGGCGGGCTCCGGCCCCCTTCCTCTCTCCACGCCTGGCTGCCTGCTCCCCTCGGCGGCGGGCGAGCCCGCCCGCCTGCCCGCCCTCCTTGTTCCTTCTCCCCGCCTCCCGGAGGAGATGGCGGGTCCTCTGGGTAGGGGCACACGGGTACAGCCCCGTGGGGCAGCGGCTGAGCGCTGCGCCGGGTGCGCTTAGGCTCGATCTAGGGCTCCGCTGGGCTGAGCTCGGACGCAGGCTTCCGCGGCGGTGCTGAAGGGACAGCTCCCGGACCGTTGGTGGAGCAGCGCTGGGCCGGGCGGGGGTTCTCCCGGCTGGGTTTGGTTTGCGGGGCCGGCGGGCACTGGCTCCGGTTCCTAGGCGCCCCGCGCTCCGCTCCCTGCTTCGGGCAGGCGGGTGGCGCTGCCGGCCAAGGCGAAGGGGGCTGCGGAGGTCGGGCCCGGTAGGCGGGGGTGGCTGGTCCGGGCGCCGCAAGGCCGGTGAGGCCAGGGAGGCGAGGCGCGGAGCCGCGGCCGCCGCCGCGACGCTGCTTCCACCCCGACTGCTGCTCCGCTGCCTGCTTGCTTGCTCGCTCGCGCGGTCCGCGTCCAGCCCGCCGCTCTCCGGACACGGGCACACGGCGCGCGCAGCCGCACTCGCCCCCGGAGGGAGGCGCCGCGCTGGGTCCTAAAAAGCCCTGATTCCGCGCCCCCCTCCCAGCCCAGCGCGGAACTCGGCCTCCTTCAACCCCAGCACTGGGGGCGCCTGCCGGGCACCGCTCCTCCTGCTCTAGGGGGGACCCGCCAACGCTCCGCCCTCAGGGAACGCCACTCGATGGGCGGGGGCTCTGAGAAACGTCTGGGCCCACACCCCAGGTCAAACTGAGGTGAGAAGGGCGTTGGCACTCGCCCATCTCCTTCCAAACCAGGGACTGTCTGAGCTCTGGGTAAGACAGGACATCCTGACACCTTGACTTGGACTAGTACGGAGCTCTCCGAAGAACCCTTTAATACCGACTTTTCCCATGGAACCTGAAGTCCCCAAGATTCTTCCAGAGGTACCCTCTTGCATGGGCTCCAAGATAACACTTCCCATTCACCCATATGCATGTCCTCCTTGCTCCCCATTAACACCCAATCCCGGACCTCATTAACCCCTTTCGACCCCTTCCTGTTGCTAGGTCCTTAATCACTTAGACCGACCTAGTCTCTCATGAGTAGTGTCACAAGACTCTACCTCGTGAATACCAGCTAACTGACCCTCCTGCACTAACTCTGAATCCCTGGGTGGGGATCCCTTATAAAAGGCTGCACTTTCTCCTAGGCTCCTGAGTACTGCCATTCCCTCTGTCCTTAAAGCTTCAGCTGCCCTGGGATTTAAGCCCATGCAGGTCTGAGGGCTGGCTAGGAGCAGCTGCCTGCTGGGATTCCTACAGTTTCACAGTTGACTGTGGGGATGGAAGTTGCCCTCACCTCAAAGCCTTTCTCGTTCCTGCTTGCCACCAGTGCCTCAGTTTACTTAGTTGAGCAATCATTCCTTTACTCCTTACTTGTTCCAGGCTTTGTCACAGACACAAGGACACAAGGGACAAATCAGATCAAACTCCAACTCCTGCCCTCAAGGAGCTCCCAGCCTTTTGGAGAAGTGGGCAGGTGGGACTGGGCAGATCTGGGGAGGTCAGGCCCAGTTCCAGGGTCAACTGGGCCGAGAAAGAGACTTATTTATTGATCCAAGCCCAGGCCAATCGAACACAGGCTGCCTAGACAAAGAGTGAATTAATTAAGAAGACACAAAGCTCTTATTTACCTGTTGGCAGTTGCTAACTGTGCAGGCAGCTGTCCCTCTACCCTGACCCACAGATGCTGCTGTAGGCCTGGGGACAAAGCTCTGCCACACACATCTCTCTACTCACTTGGTCAGGAGAACACTGACCCAGCCACATAGAATCTGTTTGTGGTAGAGAGAAGGCCTGGAGGCATGGAGAGGGGTAAGGGCCAGGGCCAGGAATGAGGGATGGAAGAAGGCCAAAGGGAGACACAGAGAGGCACAATAAAGTCAGAAACGGAGAGATGGGTAGAGACAAAGAAAGGGCTTGAATCTGGGATCAGGATGGCACCCCCTTCCTCCAGTGACTGATATGCATTATTCCTCTAAATAGGAGCTGCTTCCCCTTCAATCTCAGAGTAAGGCAGGAAGGAGTGTCCTTCTCACCCTAACCAATTTGTCTCATCCTGTAACCACGAGGAAGCCTGGCCTTATGCAACCCAGCCTAACCCATATTGAGATTTCCAGGACACAGGCTCTCAGAAAGCTCTGGCCCAACTCT